CAGGGCCGGCCCAAGGCATAAGCGAACTAAGCAGCTGCTTAGGGCCCCCTGACCACTAGGGGGCCCCCAAGAACAATTAACTTAAAAAGAAAAAAAGTAATAAATATTTTTTCCAGGAGCATCCAGGAGCGAGGAGCAGGTGAATGATGTCACAATAAAGGACTTAACGTTACCTTCGGGGCAGAAAGAGGAAAAGGAAGGAAGAGGAAGAGGAGAAAAAATGACAAGATAAAGGTATGTCTTGGTAATGTAACATTTGGTGTCAAGGGAGATTTTGTAAAGTTCCCTGAAATTAGAAAAGTCCTTAATTATTGTTGATATTTAAATTTGCTAGCTAACATTAGTTCAAAACGCCGTACTGCTTATGGGTCGGCTAACGTTGTTGTGTTTGTGTAATACTTCGAATAAGTTGATTCTCAGTGTATATATATATATATTATATATTATTCTGGGTCGCTTTTTGGCATCAAAACAACATTTTTGATAACAACGTTTGATAGCCAATGTTTAATAACTAACGTTAATTACAAACGTGGTGACGTTTGCTAGCAATATGGTTTTACATTAATGAATTCATTTAGTTAACTTATAGTTTGAGGTATGTTGTTTGCAATTGTTTGCTGCAGAGCACAGTAATTTATGTGAGTAAATAAACATATTCCTCTTACATCAACTCCCCTATTGTGCTCATACGTTATATGAAACTTCCCCAGGAGCACTGTTAGAATATTTAGGAGGAGGCACTGACTCAGCCCAGGAGCAACCCACCTCCTCAGGAGCAGCCAACGCTGATGAATCAGGTGATCAAACACTGTCACCATATATATTTCAATTCTAGTCAAATGATCTCATTAAGATATACTAATGTAAGATATAATCATATGACAAGGGACATGTTTTTCATCTCAGGTCCATCTCTATCCTCTGCTCCATCCACTGTGCCCACTGTCCTCTCTGCAACCTCAGCTGTTCCTGGTAAGTTAACAACAGAACAAACTTTATAATTGATCAGTGCACTGCAGAATATTCTGGGATGAATAATTTTGTCCAAAAATATTATTTTAATTTCCCTATTGGTCCTTCATCTTTGGTCATGGAGATTGATGTGTCTTCTTCAGCATCCAGTTTGGAGCAGGGATCAGCAGCTCCGCCAGTTGACCCAGCTGAGTGTCCCTGTTTCCTGTCAGACTCAGAAAGGACTGAACAGGTATTAAGAGGGCCACTGCCTATAAAGGACACATTCACATTCCCAAAAAGACACATGGCAGTAATAGAGGGCCCCAAAATCAAATTCTTGCTTAGGGCCCCATGGAGGCTTGGGCCGGCCCTGAGTTGCAGAAACATGGAACCTGCAGGGATCAGACTGTTTACTGCAGTTTTCAGTTTACAGCCGTTAACAATCGCACTGAAACTGAATATAAAGTCTGCTTCATCCAGCTTACATTTACATATTTCATTTCATTTCAAGAACACATGTAATAGTTAAACCTTTAGTCAGCTGCTCTTTATTAATGATCATTAGAAATGATTCATAATTATTACTATCGACATTTTATTGTGATATGTTTCTTGTTTTTATTTACCTGTGTGCCACTGATATATTTAGTAATTATAGAAATAATGCTTCAAATATAATTTACTCGTCTGTTTTTCCTCTTGTGGAACGAGGAGAGTTTGAGTTTATTTTATTGTAATATAAGTATTATTATTTATATTCTTTATCATGTGTAACAAACGGGGATCAATAAAGTATTTCTGATTCTGATTTATGAACCGAACAAAGAGTGCAGAATGAGACGGGATGAGAACCTGCAGGCAGCAGACTGAGGCGGTTCAGCACTCGGTGGACGTTCCTCCTGCAGGAGGACGAGGAGTCATCCAACAGCTGAGAGAGAGGAGGGAGGAGGGAGGAGGAGAGCAGGGCCTGTCTGCAGGAGGAGAGCAGAGAAACAACCTGGAAGTCTCTGCTGTGTTATACCGCCTCCTGCTGGTCACAGCAGAGAATACAAACAGCTCATCAGGAAACAATTAATGATCAATCTGCTGTCTGTCTGTCTGTCTGTCTGTCTGTCAGCCTGTCTGTCTGTCATCCTCCTGCCTGTCTGCCTGTCTACTGTCTGTCTGTCTGCCTGTCTCCTGTCTGTCATCCTCCTGTCTGCCTGTCTCCTGTCTGTCTCTCTCCTGTCTGTCTGTCTGTCTGTCTGTCTATCATCCTCCTGTCTGTCTGCCTGTCTCCTGTCTGTCATCCTCCTGTCTGCCTGTCTCCTGTCTGTCATCCTCCTGTCTGCCTGTCTCCTGTCTGTCTCTCTCCTGTCTACTGTCTCCTGTCTGTCTTCCTGTCTCCTGTCTGCCTGTCTCCTGTCTGTCTCTCTCCTGTCTCCTGTCTGCCTGTCTCCTGTCTGCCTGTCTCCCTGTCTGTCTGTCTCCTGTCTGTCTGTACCTGCCGATGCTGTGAGCAGTCAGTATGTGAAGCAGTTTGCAGGTTTTCTTTCTGACTGTTGAATCGTCGTCTTTCATCAAAACCTTCAACTGCTCCAGAAAACCTGAAGAAAGAACAAAGAGATTAATAATAATATATAGAATCAATGTTTACTACAAATATGGATTAGAATTATAGAATACATCAGTTCTTATTTAAAAACACTCGAATACACTCTGATCAATACTTATTGATTATTGATATTTCTCTTGATAAGTAACAGAAAGTAAAGTTACTTTAATATTATGATACTTGGATTAGGATACTGACTACATGTTTTTAACAGGTAATCAGATTACTTTTTAATAGTAACCCTGTGATTATTTTGTATAAACTGTTAAACTTGTGATTTATAACTGTGTGTGTGTGTGTGTGTGTGTGTGTGTGTGTGTGTGTGTGTGCAGTCCTTTATATTTAAAGTCTATTTAAGTGGAATAAAATGTAAATGTTGGATGTGTGAATGGAGATGTGAACTTTTAGAGTTATTGGTGTAGAACCGGATCTGTCGGTGAGAGTTACCGCCGTTAACGGTCTGGTAGATCCGCTCCGGGTCGTGCATCAGGTCGCACAGAGAGTTGAGAGCCCGCTGTCTGCGCTCCTCCTCCGGCTGCTGCAGCTCCTCGAACAGCTGCGGAACCGCCCGCCGGCCGAAGGCCACCGGAGCCCGGCTCGGGTCCATCACACCGCCGCCGGCCATCCGGTACTTCATCAATATAAACAGCTTTCTTAATCACGAACTTCTACCGGGACGGTCCGATCGGTTAACAGCTGCAACAACAACAACAAGGTTGCCTAGTAACCGCAGTCGGGACGCCACTTCCGGGTTCTAACCTACAGAATCACCTGTGAAACCAGTTTTATTTATAGAACATTACCGGTAGAAAGGTGAGGAACCCGTTGGTATTGATCAGTGTCCGTTAGCTGATAAAGAGAGAGAAAGATACATTTTGTTGTAACATACAACTGACCAGTATTAGAGAATATGTGAAACATCAACCTGTCAGAATAAATATCACAATGGGTCTGTTTGCAAAGGAGACACAATAAAACAGCTGTGTGTTCAGACGCGCAGAGGCTGCTGGGAAATGAGTCCTCTGTTTGACTGCAGTGAGTGTTTTTTACTTTCACTTTCACTTTGACTGATGGTTGTGCAGCAGCAAGACATCCAGCGGGTGAGTGAACTGGAGCAGAACTAGAGACAGAAAAAGCAGCAGGTGGTTAAAGTCAGAGTAGTTGATCGGTATTGTTGATGGTAGAACTGCAGGATGATTAACTGATTAATGAACTTATTAGTTAATAATTCTAATGATCGATCCTCCTCCGTCAGTCCACTGTTGTCTGTGTGTTCTGGGCTCAACCGAGAGCTCCTCATATGTTTTCAGTGTTTAATCTGCACAATCTCTCTGGAATGAGGAGATTTACTGACACACTGGGAATAAAGCTTCTAGAAACTTTTAGGCTGAAGGGAGGAGACGCCATTTTAGAGATTATGAGAGGAGGAGGAAGTAATGTGGTTTTCTTTTAACGATTTCTGTCAAGTCTGTCATCACAGAAGAGCCATAATGCTGTTTTAGAGGCTTTGGTGTTGGTTTGTTTGTGTGTGTGTGTGTGTGTGTGTGTGTGTGTGTGTGTGTGTGTGTGTGTGTTTGTGTGTGTGTGTCTGTGTTTAATAAAAAATGTACTTCCTCTCTTCAGATTTTGACAGAGTGACATCATGGCGACTGCAGCAGCAGGTGGGTTCAGTCAGACTTTATTATTCTCATTATTATCCATCCCTGCACCAATAGAGCTCCATATCCGCTGAGTAAGGTTGTTTTGGGTTCATCATTATAACCACTGTTACCATAGCAATGCTCTTGTGGTTAACTGTGATGTCATTTTCATTAGTGTGCTAACTCATCAATAAATATTTGCTGGTATTTGTGCAACACTAATCAGTCAGATCATGTTGTTCATCAGTTTGCTCTCTGATCTTAGTGTTATAACTATATCTATATTTCTACTCTGTAGCTGATGTGTGGAACAAGAACTGAGCAGCACAGAATATACAGAGGAAGCAGATCTTGTGCAGCTAATTATTTTTAATTATTATTTATTTCAAGACTGATGGTGTTTTCCAGCATGATTTATGATCACAGTCAAATGTGTTGTTTCACAGACTTTCAATTTCTATCATTTGTTCATGTTGAATCTGTTAATGACACAATTTCCACAAACAAAATACTTAAAAGAAATCCCATCATCCTCATTACTAAGGTATAGGTGTTCAGATTTGAGTCAATAATTAGTTTACTACACTTTATATTGTGTGAACTATTTTTTATCTTTTAAAGCCCTGTGTCATTTAATTAAAATAAATATAAAGTATTGTGTTCCTTGGTTCAGGGTAAGAATAGTATTTCTGTATCTGAATCTGCCACCTTGTATAATCAATTCTGATCATTTCCTAAGCTATTGGAATCCTTGGATATATTATTTTTATGTTTCCCAGAGATTGATTGATTATAATGTGGATAGCATCCTATTAGATGCTAACACTAACAGCGGTAATGACTGTGAATGTGTCAGAACAAGCAGCAAGGAGACTGAACCTTTAGTTCATTTATTCCAACACAGTGTAACATCACACAGTCTGGTTGTTCAACACACAGAATAAATAACTTCCAACTTCACTGAAACTAATCCTGTTGGACTGATCGATACGATGGATGATGGATAACGTTAACAGTTACTGACTAATTAACTGACTACACACCGGCTCCTCTTCCTCCGTTTCATTCCTCTGTTGCTGCCTGAACCCGCCGGGTCTTTATCCCCAGAGTCAGAGTCCTGGTCGGAGCCGCTGGGAATCAGCTGGTCTCTGCTGGTTGGTCCTGCTCCTTGGGAGCATTCCCTGCTGGGTCCCTGCTCCCCCTGTCATTTGACCTCAAAGGAAGCAAGCTAATATGACCCCTAACTATGTATTGGCAGCAGCTAGCATATGCAACACATTGACAGTAGATGCACTGGAAAGTGACTTCCTGTGTTACAAGAAAGAAAAGGTCCTCTGATACTATGGTCCCTGTGGCAACATTGTTTTTGTTTTTCTGTGACTATCCGACCAATAAAAAGTGGGTCGACTAAGACTCTGCTCAGGGACTAACAGTGAAGTTGACACTGATGATAATTGATAATCAGCAATATGTCCTCCCAGTAGTTAAAGATTACATGTGAGTGAATCAGTGTTCTGTATCTTTACAGTGACAGATGATCTGCAACCACTGAAACTGAGCAGCAGCTTACAATGGCTGCCACCTTACAGTGAGTTAAACTGAGTCAATGATTCCTCTGTACATTAACATCTAATTACAGTGTTTGTTGGTTGAGGGTACAAACTCACATTTTATTCCATTTGAAGCTCATTGATGAATTTGTTTGTTTCTTGATAACAGTGAATAAATACATTGTTATTGTATTGACTTTGGATAAGGTCTACACTGAGAAGGTTTTTCTAATTCACTGTTTTCTTTTCAGTGTCTGAGCTGAGGGTTGTTTTGCTGGGGAACAGCTGGTCTGAGAGGAGTTCAGTGGGGAACTTCATACTGGGAGAGACTAAGTTCAACACTGAAGAAGAACCAGACTGCTTCCTGAGAGAAAGAGTGCAGTTGAAGGGGAAAGAAATAGTTCTCATCAACACTCCAGATCTGCTGCATCCCAACATCTCTCAACACAAACTGACAGAACATGTAGAAAACTGTTTGAGACTCTCTGATCCTGGACCTCATGTGTTCCTGCTGGTTCTACAGCCTGAAGACTTCACTGAGGAACACAAACTGAGACTACAATCAATCCTTGAACTCTTCAGTGATCAATCATTTGATCATTCTCTGGTTCTGATATCAACACCCAGAGAGGAGAGTCCAGGTTTGATAGAAAAATACCTGGAACGTCCTCCATTAAAAGACATGATCAGAAAATGTAGATACAGATATTTGAAGCTGAAGAACCTTGAACGTTCAGAGCTGTTAACACGCTTGGGTCAAATTGTGAAGGAGAATAATGGAGAATGTGTCAGCTGTGATGTATTTGAGGACCCAACATCAACTTTACCAGGTCATCATCGAAGTCCAAAACAAAAGGAAACTCAGACTTTTATCACAGATGCTGTTAAAACTGCAGGTAAGAAACTATTCTGACAATGAAAACTTTAATCACACAAATCTTCTTTGATTAAATTAGAATATTAAGCTGCTATTTAATTATTAATAATTAAAATTGAAATTTATTTAAAATAATTTCATGTTAGTATCTTTATCTAAAAAAAAGGTACCTGGTATGTTTATTTATCTGTTACACTAATATTTTGATACTTTGCATTTTCAAAAGAAATTTTAAGGGAAATGCTGCTTTTTCCTAATTGTCCAGCTGTTGGTACATACTGGTGTGTGATTTGTGACTCTTCAATCCGCAAACGGATTGAGTGGTTGTTAGAACATTGTCAAGTCTGTAGATGACTCAAGAGATCTCCTCATGTCAGAAAAGTGATTTCGGTCTTATAGTGACATTTGATCTTTCTCTCCGTTGTATTACAGCATCTGGACTCAGGATTGTGCTCTTGGGAAAAAGTGAGGACAGACAGACAAAACTTGGGAATTCCATCATTGAGAACCAAACTTTCCATTACCAAAAACTGTCCTCAACTGCACGATGTGTGATGGCCAATGGAGAGTGGAGAGGAAAACCATTAATAGTAGTGAAAACTCCAAACATCTTCAGTCTGTCTGTGGAGACCGTGAGAAGAGAGATGAAGAACTGTGTGACTCTGTGTCCTCCTGGACCAAATGTTCTTCTGCTGTTAGTGAAACCTTCTGATTTCACTGAGGAGAACAGACAAACACTGAAGTTCATCCTGAGTTTGTTTGGTCAAGATGCTTTAAAATATTCAATGGTCATCATGACACATGACGAGGATAAAAGTAATACTGTTAATGAAATCCTTATAGACTGTGGAGGAAGACACTACAACATGGTTGAAAACAACCACACATTGTTAATGGAGAATGTTGAGAACATTGTGCATGAAAACAAAGGAACCTTCCTCACCTTCACTGAAGAGACCATAAGACCAAAGTCTGAACCCATCAAACCAGCTTTAAACCTGGTTCTGTGTGGGAGGAGAGGAGCAGGGAAGACTTCAGCAGCCGAGGCCATTTTAGGTCAGACAGAGTTTCATTCAGTCTCCAACTCATCAGAGTGTGTTAAACATCAGGGAGAGGTGTGTGGACGTTGGGTTTCCCTGGTGGAGCTGCCTGCCTTGTATGGAGAACCTCAGGAGGCAGTGATGGAGGAATCACTCAGGAGTATCTCCCTCTGTGATCCTGAGGGCGTCCATGCCTTCATCCTGGTCCTACCTGTGGGTCCCCTCACTGATGAAGACAAGGGAGAGTTAGAGACCATCCAGAACACATTCCACTCTCTAGTCAATGACTTCACCATCATTCTGTTCACTGTGGACTCAGATCCTACAGCTCCAGCTGTTGTTAACTTTGTGAAAGAAAACAGAGACATTCAGAAGCTCCTTCAGAGCTGTGGAGGAAGATATGTTGTTCTCAACATCAAGGACAAGCAGCAGATCCCAGAACTGTTGGACATGGTGGAAAAAATAAGACTGAGACTCTTCAAAGATAAACCACACTGCTACACAATAGAAAAATTTGCATTTGCCCAAATAGAAAAGATCATACAACAACAGAAAAACATCACCACACTACAGACTGAACTGAAGGGGCTGAAAACAAAAAGCACAATCAGCTGTAAGTTGTATACATGATAAATATAAACAATAATAAATCCTAATGTTTTTTCTGTGTCCTTGCGACATTATACCTTACAGTCTATATTGTTCCAACGGTGAATAAAATGTAAAAGTAACTCCTGGTCTTTATATTTCACAGGTGATGATGAGGAACGGAGTCCAGAGTGTCTCAGGATTGTGCTGATAGGGAAGACTGGCTGTGGAAAGAGCTCTTCAGGAAACACCATTCTAGGAAGAAAAGGATTTAAAGCCAAATCAGCCCAAACATCAGTCACTAAACGTTGTCAGAAAGAACAGAGTGAAGTTGATGGTCGTCAGGTGGTTGTGGTCGACACTCCTGGTCTGTTTGACAATAGTTTGTCTCATGAAGAGGTTCATGAGGAGATGGTGAAATGCATCAGTCTTCTGGCTCCAGGACCACATGTCTTCCTGTTGGTGTTACACATTGGCAGATTAACACCAGAGGAGAAGGAGACATTAAAACTTATCAAGGAAGGATTTGGGAAGAATTTTGAAAAGTTTACCATCATTCTTTTAACTGGAGGAGATTCACTGGAACATGAGGAGATATCCATTGAAGAATACATTGAAAAGAAGTGTGATGATTCCTTTAAGAAGCTGATCTCTGACTGTGGAGGAAGATACCATGTGTTTAATAACTATGAGAATGACAAACAACCACAGGTCAGTGAGCTGATAACCAAGATTGACACCATGGTGAAGGAAAATGGAGGCAGCTGCTACACTAATGAGCTGCTGCAAGAGGCTGAAGCATCAATAAAGAAAGAAATGGAGAGAATCCTGAAGGAGAAGGAGGAAGAGATGAAGAGAGAGAGGGAGGAGCTTCAAAGAAAACATGAGGAAGAAATGGAAGAAATGAAAAGACGAATGGAAGAACAGAGAGCAGAAACTGAAAAAGAGAGAAAACTGAGAGAAAAACAACTTGAAGAAAAGGAGGAAAACATCAGAAAGGAATGTGAGGAGAGAAAGAAAGAACAGGAAAGGAGAGAAGAAGAAGACAGGAAGAGAAAACAACAGGAAGAAATTCAACGACAGGAGTGGAAACAGAAAGTTGAAGCTTTGGAGGAAAAAATAAAATCAGAGTCAGAATCAAAGAAAACCATTGATAGAAAGCTGGAGGAGAGCAGAGAAGAGATGAGAAAAGAACGAGAGAACTGGGAGAAACAACAAAAGAATGGTGGGAAAAACGATATCAAGAAAATGAAAAGAAACGAAAGGAGGAATATACAAAACTTAGAAAGCTTCAAGAAGAATACGAACAGGAAAGAGAAAACCATGAAAAGAAAAGAAAGGAGGAGGATCGAATCAGAAGAGAACAAGAGGAAAAAGAGAAAAAAGACATCGAGAAGAAGTATAGGAAAAAACTGGAGAATCTGAAGAAGACATATGAAGAAGAAGCCGGAGGGGACTACTTTACGTCATGAAATTCAAATGGAAAAAACCCCCCACATATAATACAATGTAAAAAATATATACAATAAAGTGGAACATGGTCCAGATGGATGCAAAAACAGTTGTGTTTAACAGGTTAATAACAGCCTCAATCAATGGAAGTGGGAGGTACTGGGTGCTATAGTGTTGTGGAGTTGGATGGCTGATGCAATTTTTAAATTTGCTCAGAGGGAGAGAGCTAGCAGAAGTGAAGGGTTATGGAGCCAGAACAGTCTCATAATGGATAAATGCACACAGAAATGAATCAATGCAAGAAAAAGGACTCGCAAATGTATTTGGGGAGTTGTGTGTATATATATATATATATATATATATATATATATATATATATATATGACTCGATACACAAATGCATTTTCAGTGCACACACAAATATGCTTCAATCCATATAAGTAAAAAAAAAAATTCACATATAAAAATAAGATTTGTAAACATATTTGTGATGCGCACACAAATATTTCTTGTTTTAAATATGTGCAATAAAAATTCACAAATGTACAAATCGTCAGGCATTTGCAATTTTCATCAAATACATATTTGGAGGTTGTTACATTTATATATGAACTGTCAAACGCGCATTTGTCTCAGTGCTTTTAATTTGTAAACCTCCCTGCATTTGTGTGTGGATTTTTGAGACTCTTCTAGTGACTCCGATACACAAATGCATTTTTTCTACAAGGGGGTCGTCTGCAGCCAATCAGATGTCTCACTCCTTTACAGCCAATCACATGAGTGCCTCCCCACAAGGGTTTTAACTGAGCACGCAACGGATCTAGAATGATATGGATCTAGAAACGTCAATCAGCCATTTCATTTTCACTACTGTTAACTTACTTACAGGATATTACTTAGTAAAGCATACAACTCTTATCGTTACCCGATTTCATGTTATTATTATTATATTTGGTATGTAACGTAGTTACACAACACACTTAACCCTAGGGTGGCCATTCCTCCGGCTTTAGTCCTGCAGCCTGACACTCATTTGTCCTCCTTTTGAGAAAATTTTGAGAAAAATGTGTCAAATCTTTTGAAACATTACCTCGTTAGTTTAATACTTAATGGCTAAACATGTGTGTCAAATTAGGAATTTCATTGGTTACATTTTCGTGTGGTGACCTATCAACACATGGCTAATTTTAATATTCAAATGAGCCATGTGTTGATTCGCCATGCGATCACCGCAGTTGCTAGGTTACCACCAGGCTGTCAATCAAGCTCTCAGTGACAGAGAACATAATGTGAGCTAACGTTGGTTGTTGTAGTCCATGAGCCAGGGGGGTTGATCGGTATCATCGGGGGGACAAATGCTATCATTGTTTTTTGGCAAGGTATACAGCCCTAGTACTAGAAAAATCACGATAGCAGTGCAGGGGTGGTAGCAAAATCACTTTTTTCAGCTCATGAAGTTATTAACCCCCTAAGATAAATTCCGTTTTTGAAATCTGGTGTATATCTGGTTTAGGCTCATGGTAGGGATATTGTCAATATTCTATAATATGGTGCTTGGTATCGTTGGAAAGGGGACCTTTTAGGCTTTCATTTAAGCCCAGTACTGAATCTGTCTGACAAACACAGAGGTCACATGACTTCTTTAAACCAGAAATAACACACATTTTCTCACAAAACCGCCTAAACTGTATGCTTTCTTTTATCCCTGGGGCATGAAGGAACATCAAGGACACAAAACTCAACAACTTCAATAGTAACGGCGTTACTTTTTTCAGTAACAAGTAATCTAATTGATTACTCTTCCCATCTTAATAACGCTGTTACCGTTACTGCCAAAAAATGCGGTGCGTTACTATAATTGAAGCTGTTTTTTTCATCAGACCAACTAGATCTCTGAGCCAAGAGGCAAAGACTTTTTTTTTACTGTTCTTCCTTGGTTAGTGGGCAGTGCACGAGACAAGCGCATAAATGCTGACGATTGGCTGAGGTTGAGTAAAATTTCATGGTAAGCCAATCAGAGGTAGAGTTGGGCGGGTGTTCGAAAGCACACATAGTCGGACACACAACGAACAACACAAGCGAGTCAGTCAACGAGAGACAGGTATGGCGAGCCCAAATAATCCAAAAGTAGCCTTCTCTAAATGGAAGTATAGCCATTACTTTTCCCTCCAAGAAATTAAAGGAACGAATGTAATCGTGAAATGCACATTATGCTATTATTATTATGTTAGATTGAAAGCACCTCATATTGTTACACTGTTCTACTTTTTCGAGGAAGAAAATACTTGAAGTACAGTATATCTACCAATTGTCTGAAGTTTTTTTTTATTTGCACAACAAAGTGTATATATTTGTTATTTATTTTTGGTATAGTGCTTAACAAGCATAATTGAATTTTGCCCAGTTGTGGCCTGTTGAGGGGCAATAAATATCAAAAGTTCCAAAACATCTATTGTGTTACTTGTATCGATCCACTATATAAACATAATATCTACATACATGGCATTTGATTGGAGGCTAGTCTCACTTTGTCAGCAACATTAAAATAGTTTAGACTTGTGTACATTGTTTCTGTTAATAATGTATTGTATTAAGTGTCCATTTTATTATAATATTCAGATTTATCATAAATAATTGAACATGCACATGTGTTTTAAGTTCCGTTAAAGAGGGGTGGAGGTGGGGTCACATTTGAGCATTTAGAAATGTACTTGAAAGTAACGCAATAGTTACTTTCTGAAGTAACTAGTTACTTTTATAATTTGTAACTGAGTAACTAATATAGTTACTTTTTGGAAGAAGTAACTTGTAACTGTAACTAATTACTTTTTAAAAGTAACTTGCCCAACACTGGAGGCAACACACACTGCGAGCTAACTATCAGGCTGGTATTTGGAGAAGATGTTTAGAAAAGGACCCACAAGTACCAAGCCCTGTTGGCAGAGGATGGAAGATGGAGACAGAGGAGGAAGGTGAACAGTTGGTGCTGCACTGGATGGAAGGCCGGCCAGCACCTGAAGCTCTCCTGGATCTACTCGCCTGCAACTGCACAAAAAATGTTCACTCGATGTATGTGTCTTGTAAATGGCCTCAGGTGCACAGACATGTGTAAACTGACAAAGTGTGAAAACCAGGCGACCTGTGTAAAAAGTTCAGATTAAGACGAGGACGACATGGAGAATGATGATGATTAGATAATAAAATAATGGATATCAACATACAAACCAGTCATTGATTAAATATATTGACTTTACAACCTGTTTCTTTATTGACTTTTACAACTAATAGGGCTCCATCCTAGTTGTCCATTCTATTCTCTCTATTGTATTTTTGAAGACTTGTGCTGGCTGCACAAGTCTAATTTAAGGCTCTCACAAATAAATAGTATGGGTATATTATACATTTTCTGAATCATCAGAGTGCCTTGAGTATTGAAGTTGTTGAGTTTTGTGTCCCTGATGTTCCTTCATGCTCCAGGGATAAAAGAAAGCATACAGTTTAGGCGGTTTTGTGAGAAAATGTGTGTTATTTCTGGTTTAAAGAAGTCATGTGACCTCTGTGTTTGTCAGACAGATTCAGTACTGGGCTTAAATGAAAGCCTAAAAGGTCCCCTTTCCAACGATACCAAGCACCATATTATAGAATATTGACAATATCCCTACCATGAGCCTAAACCAGATATACACCAGATTTCAAAAACGGAATTTATCTTAGGGGGTTAGTAACTTCATGAGCTGAAAAAAGTGATTTTGCTACCACCCCTGCACTGCTATCGTGATTTTTCTAGTACTAGGGCTGTATACCTTGCCAAAAATCACTATGAGACTTTGTCCCCCCAGATGATACCGATGGCCCAAATTTGGGGCCCTGGCTCATGGACTATTGGACGGAAATTCTGAAAATGCTCATACTCATATGTATAGGCAAAGCTTTACTTGCTTTTTGATGTGAAGGAAATGGCCACCCTACTTAACCGGCCTAAAAAATAATAATTCCAACAACCCGAGCTAGCGTCACAAATTAGGAAAAAACATTCATTCACAATTCTGTAACATGACTTATGTAAAAGATTGGGAAAACAAAACGTTATGTTTTACTTACACTTAAATTGTCGAGGTTGCCGCTTACAGACGCCATGTTTCCTTATTTCGCCGTCTCCTCGGCAGCGAAAATCAGGGTCTAATCATTCTAGATCCGTTGCGTGCTCAGTTAAAACCCTTGTGGGGAGGAACTCATGTGATTGGCTGTAAAGGAGTGAGACATCTGATTGGCTGCAGACGACCCCCTTGTAGAAAAAATGCATTTGTGTATCGGAGTCACTAGAAGAGTCTCAAAAATCCACACACAAATGCAGGGAGGTTTACAAATTAAAAGCACTGAGACAAATGCGCGTTTGACAGTTCATATATAAATGTAACAACCTCCAAATATGTATTTGATGAAAATTGCAAATACCTGACGATTTGTGAATTTTTTTGCACATATTTAAAACAAGGAATATTTCTGTGCGCATCACAAATATGTTTACAAATCTTATTTTTATATGTGAATTTTTTTTTTGCTTATATGGATTGAAGCATATTTGTGTGTGCACTGAAAATGCATTTGTCTATCGAGTCATATAAATATACACAACTCCCCAAATACATTTGTGAGTCCTTTTTCTTGCATTTATTCATTTCTGTGTGCGTTTATCCATTATGAGATTGTTCTGGCTCCATAAAGGGTGTAGTTACACTTTCAAGTGAAAAGTGGGGTGAGGCCTGGACACCGACCGGAGTGATTGACAGACTGACCACACCAGTGTAGACGTGTGTGTCTATGGGGGCGGTGTCAGTGTGGGATCAAGGTAAAGATTGCAGACCGGTGTTTCTACAGCGTCTGAAGTCTGAACCACTGTGCCACAATATAAAAACAGTAAGTACACTGAGTCTGTACATTGTTCATGTTTTCAGCTTTTTATCAGCTGTAGTGCTCAGATACAGGGACAGTGTGGAGCTGCTTTATAGGCTCTAATAACAGTTGAGTTCATGTTGTGTTTCTGTCCAATAGTTGAGGTGGTTTCCTTTTGGATTGTGTATCATTTGGTTGGATTTGCTGATGCTTT